ATTGCACATATCAAACGTGGAAAGACCAACTGGAACAAGCGAATAAAATAGGTTTTCATAAGAATCACATCAAGGAGATCATTCTCTTAAAAAATGCCCTTTCTTTGATGTCAAAACCGAGAGATCCATTACCCCGTTTACGAAATGTAGCGCTACCCAAATGTTGATTTTGGAACTTATCACAGTATAATATGAGATGTTTGAATAGAATAAGTAAACGGCGAAAAATTGAATGGTTGATGGAATATGAAGAAAAAACCTCTTTCAGAGATTAAAGAACGGAATGAATGCAGACAAGGTAGTTTAAACACCCAAAAATCCTATGTCCACATTGCCATACTTCTTTCGAAGATCCTTCATTACCTCACTGCTGATTCTTCGAGCCAGACTAGAATTATCAAATTGGAAACATGCATAGTCATTTCTATGCTCATACCGTATTGTGGCTTCATCGGGCTCTTCAAGTGCCCTTGCTGGCACCGGATCAACCATGGCTACTGGCTGACTACGTCTCGACATTCCTACGACTTCTAAGACAGAATTTGCATGTAGTTGATCAACAGAGCTAGGAAACCTACTTTTGTTGTAAGCTAATTCCAAAGGTTCTTCAGAGAGATTCTTTGATTTCAAAGCAGATGACGGTCCCACTGTCGGCTGACTCCGCGAACGTGCCAGCCTTTGTCGCTTCTAATTTAAAGGTGATCACAGAATAATCAAACGAAGCACTAAGCTCATTTAAGACTTGCTAATTACAAGGTGAAATCCTTACAATGATTGTGAGTAGGATTAAAATGAAAAAAAGGAGAAGTTTAACTATAAAAACAAAGTCACTACGCAGCCTAAAAGCTCTTTTGATTACTTTTCTCTCCATATTGTTCTTTCAACTGAACAATGATAACTTCAGTACCAAAAATTGCTTCTGAAGATCACTGCACATGGATAAGCGTATGAAAGCATTGTATGAATGCAGTTAAACCGAGTTTAATATTTTGGAAAAAAAATGTTGCAAAAAAAAACCCCTTGCAAATGTAAGGTTTTGATGGATGACTACGAAATAAAATTTATACTCGCATGAAATCAAGAACCTACTTTTAACAATTCCGCAGGTAGAAGGTACCCTGGGCTACGTTGCTGAATCTGAATTAAAGGTCGTCGCAGTTTCACAGGTTGGGGACTAAAGAACTGTTGTCGGGACGACTTTTTCGCTTTTCGCCGAGCATACTGCGCCTCAAATGCGACCTGGAAGTATATTCGAATGCAT